GCAGCAGGTTGGATGCAGCAGCAGGTTGGATGCAGCAGGTTGGATGCAGCAGCAGCAGGTTGGATGAAGACCTGAAGACTCTCCTGCACCTGTTGCTGCTCGGCCCTTTAACTCCTTGTGCTTGTTGTTTTGGACGCAGCAGGACAAAGCCGAGGAGGCGTCGGGGGGGCAGCCGGGCCCCGCCGGCCCCGCCCCCTCTAACCCCCCCCCTCCCCCCAGCCGCCCCCCCCACCGCTGGCATGTGATCGCACGGCACTGGTTGCGCCAAACCCGCCGTCGGACCAGCGGGGTCCCTCCGGTAACTACCAGAACCAGCTGACGACGGCACACAGACAGACACACAAGCAGGAGGGCCAGAGTCAGGAGCAGATCCAGTGACTTCACACGACAGGAATATGAAATATAAAAACACAGCAGAGCAAAAACATGGAGACGTGGAGCCTTAAATAAAGCAGCAGCTGATGGTGCACGTTAATAACTACAAGCTGATAGAAACTCATGCTCAGCTTCAGTTTATGGACAGAAAAAAAGAATAAAGTGCAGATTTCTCCAGATTCTGTGAACGTAGCAGCGAGTAAATTAATTCCTGGTTCAGGTTCAGAGGTTTAGTTTCAGTCTTTCATAAGTTTCATGAAGAAAAAAAGACTTTTATTTCGCTTAAATGCTATTATTGAGACAGAAATATGCAAAAACTAGAAAACAGATTAAAATAGAAACCTGTACGTAGAAAAGAAACAGAACTCATCCTTTAAAAAGCCTAACGAGCTCCAAGCTAACTAAACCTAGCTTAGCAGAGTGGCTAAGCTAGTGAAGTTTCAGATGATTTTATGTGATTAAGCTGCATTTATATCACATTTTACTCTATTTAATTCAGAATTAATTCAATAAGAGAGCCGAGAACGAAACAAGACGTTGGGTTTGTGGACCCTGAGCAGCACTTTGGATCATTTAATTGGACGTAAACCACATCCTGACTGTTAAAGTTACAGAATGTGTTTTATCTGAGAACAATTAAACTCTAAACAATCACAAGAGTTAAAAAATCATAAATAAAAACGGTGCAGATGAAGACTAAAGCTGAACAGATGTAGTTCGAGGAGCCTCTGACTGCAGAGAAAGTGATTTTCATGTCATTAAGCTGCATTTAAATCACATTTTAATGAATAAATTCATCTTAAACTCATTCAACCTGTTACAGAAGAAGTCGTATTAAAACACATTCTGTCTGTAGAGGCTTTGTTTTCCTGCAGAATCCACATTTTCTTTAATTTAATCAGTTATTTATAATGTAAAAGGCATAAAATGAGGCTGCAGACTTCTTTTAATTTGACTAATTTTACAGTATGTCAGGACTTTAACAGCCTCAGCAGTAAAACGAAACCTCCTGTCCATGAAACATTCTTCATATTTTAGTTATAATATGATGTGAAGCAGAGTTTGATCGTGTGGACGTTAAACAGCAGCTCAGAGTTAATCTGATGAATTCACTGTAGATCAGAAGTAAACGCTGGTTCATCTGGACCGTGTGTCTGGTTTCTGTCTGGTCTCCTGCCTGAGCTGAGCCGCAGGACGACGGGAGCTGTAAGAAGGGGAAGAGCGCCACCTGCTGGTCCGACCACCACCACCACCACACTGTCGCCACTAACACCGAGTCCATCTGCATGACGCTGAAGCTGCACTTCAGCAGACGCCAGAGTCACTCACATGTTGAACGGTTTAAATCAAACTACGACGGGTTCAGGGGATCAGATGTTCCTGCACGCTGTCGTAAAACGTTCCAACAGCCAAATTATAACAACAAGTTAAGAATTAGACAAAAAAAGGATTAAACTCTGAAAAAAACGTTCCCACAACAGCTCATGAAGTCGTTTAAAGTCGATTTGAAAAGATAAAAATATAACTGACAGATTCACTCTGATGCTCATGTTTACAGTTTTTATTTGTTTATTTTATTTTAATTTTTTCTCTCTTTTTTGTTTTACATTAAATTGTTTTGTTTTGGGTTTTAAAATACATTTAATATTATTATTTGCTCCGATGTTTAGCAGGAAGAAGAGTTTACAGCAGCGCTCTGAACTTAGTGGTGTCGCTTTTATATTTAAAACAACAATTTTTATTTATTTTATGTTGTTGTTTTATTTTAATAACAGACTTTAATATACTTTTCATTTAGTAGCGTCACTTTTATATTTAAAAACAACATGTTTTATTCATTTATGTATTTTTTTTATTTTAAAAATAGATGCGTTTTATTTATTTATGCAATTGTTTTATTAAAAAATATTTAATTTTATTTTTTTAATGGTACTTTAATATTTAAAAACAGCACTTTTTATTTATTTATGTCATTGTGTTATTTAAAGAAGACTTTTTAAAAATGTGTTAATGATACTTCTCTATTTAAAAACAACAGTTTTTATTTATCAATGTAAATCCTTTAATTAAATATAACACTTTTTATGTTATGTCGCCCTTTTTAAAAGAAAATATTACATTTATTATGATAATGTCTTTTTTATTTGTTCAATAATGTCACGTTTTATTTAACAACATTATTTTCTATTTATTCATATCACTTTTTAAATTAAAAATAAAATATTTTGATTGCATAAAGACACATTTTTAAATTGATTTAAATTTATTTTATGTTGTGAACAGAAGTTTTGAAGTTGCACAAATTAATTGTTGATTCAGTTTCATTAATTTACTCAACTGAATTCAATCAACGAAAGCAGAAATTAAAGTTTAAATTACACACCATCAAAATAACGTTTGTGTTTTAAAGTTTTAATCCACATCAGTCGATTATAATTGTTGTTTTGCAGCGCTGCAGTAAATAAACAGTCTGTTTGTTTGGAACATTTCCTGGAACGTTTATAAAACGTTGTCAGATCTGCGTGAAGTTGCAGCTTCAGTCGTGTTTTTTTATTTCTTTTCTTCAGTTCTTCTCTCTTCAGGTGTGACTCTGAGTTTCCTTCATGTCTCTGCTGGTTCCTGAAAACTTTCCTCCTCTAACCCTGAACTCTGAACTCTGTCTTTAATCTGTCGTGTTTTCTTCCAGCAACTCTCCAGAATCCTCCCAAACTCAGACCTCTGCATGTCGAGTCGCCGCCTAACCTCGTGTGCATGACCTGCTTTTGCTTTATTTTGTAATTTTCTGGCCCAGATTTCCAGATGTTCCTGCTCTGAGCTGAACAACGGCAGCAGAGCAGAACAAATGAGGACGGAGAACTCTGGAAAAATCGGACTGGACGTGATTTCAGACGTGTTATTTTCCGACACATGAGGAAGCTTTTAAGGAAAATAACCCAGTTTTATGTCGCCGCGTCTCTGTTTTAAAGGACGGATTCACAGTTTTTAACATTTGTCCTAAAACGTGAATAAAAACATCCTGATGATAGAATGTTTTCTGAAGTAAATATGAGGGTCAACAGTTTGAATTAATGTCTTTCATGACAAACCTGTGGAGCTCCAAACTGTTTGATATTAAATTCATAAATTATGAAATACAGGGAAAAAAAAGATCTGCTTTTACTTTATTTGGCCATTTTTAACCAATTAACATTAAATTTCGTACTATTTATTTGATTTTTAGTTTATTTAATAATGTAATTTTTTTTATTTTATTTTAAAAGACCATCTTTATTTCATAAAAGTCACCTTTCTTTTACATTTTTTTAATTTAAAAATTCCACTTTTGACTTAAATATAACACTTTATATTTAATGTCATTTTTCTTAAAAAATAATACTTTTAATTTTATAGGGTACCTTATTCATTTAAAAATATTTTTTACATTTAATATTGTCACTATTTATTTCAAAATAACACTTTTTATTTCATAAAGCTTTTATTTAAAAATATATTTTTTAAAATGTCACCTGATTTTTTAACATAACACTTTATATTTAATGTCACTTTTCTTTCAAATAATGCTTTTTAATTTCATCATATAACCTCTATTATTTAAACATAACACCTGAAAAATAAATCTTGTTTTGAAATACCATTTCTTTAAAAAATATAAAATAAAATAATGACATTTATTTAATGTTGTCACCTTAAAAAAGCACTTTTGTTTAATTTTTTTAAAAGTCCCTTTTTTTTTTTTAAAACTACATTTTAGTTTTAATTTAACACAACACTTGATTTTCAAATTTAAAAATCAAATTTTTTTTTTATTTATTAATGTTTTTGTTAGTTTTTACGCCTCACAGCTGCTGACAGACGTGAGGCTTCATGTTTCATATTTTCATTTTCAGTTACTTTACATCATCGACACATTTTACATTTCATGTATGTTTATTTAATATTGAGCACGTTGGGCCTCCACACGAACCCTCCATCCCATAATATCGCCTCTAACGACCAGCATAAAGCTCACCACAGTGTCAACGTGTGAATATTGTTTCAGACAAACTGTGAAAAGTGTGAAACTGTCCTTTAAAGGGAGGCGAGTCCAGATTCCCCACAGAGCCAGCTTTTATTTATTATCAGAGGTTTTGTCTCGTGTGACGTTCAAGTGTCGGAGCTTTGAACACTGAACGCCTCTAAACTGTGACGTGGGCTCTGTGAGGAATCCGGCTGCTGTCTCATCGTGTTTCTGATTAACTCCATCACTCCTCACTTCTTACTGCGTTCCCAGTTTCCCGCATGTGCTTCAGCCAAACATCTGAGAGCGACTGAATTAAACCGACCGAGTCCTGGAGGAGCTTCTGAAGGAGGATTCCACCAGTTTCACACAAAAACGTCTGAAAACATCATCGGCGTTGGTTCAAAGTCTGCAGAAGAACCGTCTGGTGTGTTGTGGGACAAAAACACATCACATCCTGGACTGGTTTAGGATGGGTTCTGGACTGGTTTGAGGTTGTTTTAGACTGGTTTTTGTACTTGGTTTAGGCTTGTGTTAGTCTGGTTTAGACTGACTTTTGTTGGACTGGTTTTAGCCTAGTTTAGGACTGGTTATTGGTTATTGTCTTAGTCTGGCTTGGGCTGATTTATTTATTTATTTTTACTAGTTTTAGGCTGGTTATGGACTAGTTTTGGACTGGTTTGAGATTGTTTTAGACTGGTTTTATTCTAGACTGGTTTTATTCTAGACTGGTTTTATTCTAGGTTGTTGGACAGATTTTTAGACTTGGTTTTTCCTGGCATTCATCTGGTTGAGACTAGTTTTTGGCTTGTTTTGGACTGGTTTAGAACTGTCTATTGGACAGGTCTTTGGACTAGTTTTGGACTGGTTTTGGACTGGTTTTGGACTGGTTTTAGGCTTGCTGAGGACAGGTTTAGAACCGGTTGTTATCCTGGCTATCAAATTTGATTTGGGGTTTTTCTGTGATTGGTTTTAGACTGGTACTGAACTTGGTTTTAGACTGGTACTGGACTTGGTTTTAGGCTAGTACTGGACTTGGTTTTAGGCTGGTGTCAGTGTGGTTTAGACTGATTTTCAACATGATGCTCGGACTGGTTTTGGATTGGTGTTAGGCTGGGTTAGGACTGGTTTTAGGCCAGTTTATGGACTGGTTTTTGGACTTGGCTTTGTTCATCTGGTTTTGACAGATTTCTAACATGATGTTTGTACTGGTGTTGGACTGGTTGTAGCCCAGTTTACAACTGGTTATTAGACAGATTTCCAGACTTGGTTTTGGACTGCCTCTTTAGCTGGTCTTAATCTGACTTGGACTGGGTTTCTAATATTTTTATTATTTACTAGTTTTAGGCTGGTTTTGGACTACTTTTGGACTGGTTCGAGGTGGTTTTAGACTGGTTTCATTCTAGTTTAGGACTGGTTGTTGGACAGATTTTTAGACTTGGTTTTTGCTGGCCTTAGTTTGGTTGGGACTAATTTTAGGCTTGTTTTGGACTGGTTTAGAACTTGTTTAGACTGGTTTGAAGATAAATTTAGACTAGCTTTGGATTGCCTTTGAACTGGTTTTGGACTGGTTTCAGGCTGGACTAGGACTGCTTAAGAAATGGTTTTTAGATTGATAATTGAACTTGATTTGGGGCTTTTCTATGGTTGGTTTTAGGCTGGTACTGGACTGGATTTGGGGACTAGTTTTAGGGCTGGTTTTGGATGGGGTTGAAGATAAATTTAGACTGGTTTTTAACTGGGTTTGGACTTTTTAAAATGGTTTTTGGTCTGCTTTAGGCAGATTTTTGGAGTACTTTGGACTGGTTTTAGGCTGGGTTAGGACTGGTTTAGAACTGGTTTTAGGCTGGGTTAGGACTGGTTTAGAACTGGTTTTAGGCTGGGTTAGGACTGGTTTAGAACTGGTTTTATACTGGTTATTGAACCAAAGAAAATGTGAATTGCGTGTTTTACTGAACAGCAGTGATTTAATGTCATGAATGAATAAAGTGACAGAAGGTCAAACAGAGAACAAACACAAGACGAGGCAGAAGGTGGTGAAAACACATTTACTGGAGGCTGATGGAGCTGTGTCGTGTTGCATTATGGGAAATGTAGGATTCAGTGTCTTCAGGCTGTTTTTAAACTCTGTAGAACAATAATCCTTTCCTACAGTTTGTTTCCCATCTCGTTGATGATTGTGCTGAGCTGCTGGAATCCCCTTTAAGAGCATCAGGACTCTTCCTCTATAAAACTCGAGCACGTTTTCGTGCCGCTGAGGCCAAAACTCCTGCTGAGGTGCTTCTGGGAAACTGTTGCTGTGGTTTGGACCTACAGTGCTCAGCTCTTCTGTTGGCCTTCAGCTCCAACACGGACCTTTATTGTGACAGTTCAGACTCACCTGCTTCCTGTTTTAATTCCTTTTCTTATTTTGTTTTATCTCTGCTTGTGTTTGTGTGCAGGAGAGCTGTGAGCAGCTGATGCCGGTCGGAGACTGGAAGGTACGAACTTTACTTTCTGTTCTGATTCTGTCAAGAGATGGACAGAAAAACGACCGACAGGTGGCGATACCGACGCTGTGATTAACATCCTGCTGAGTGGTTTCATCTCAGATTAATCCTGAAGGAAATCCTTGTGCCACATGTTGCTCAGAAAAAACAAAACGACCTAAAAGGTGTGAAGCTTAAAAAGCAGAAACCCTGAAAGTACAAAACTTTACTAAATAAAATCAGTAAACTGACGTAAAACTGGAATAAAACGATGCTGGAAGTTATACTGAGTTAATGAGTGATAATTAAATAACCTGAGACATGAAACGCTGCAGCTGCTGCTCGTTGAGATACTTTAAGTGTTATTGGTGGACACAAGAGGAGCATCTTTATTTAATAGAAGTCACCTTTCTTTAAAAAAAAACAAAAAGTATTTTTCATCTAAAAATTTCACTTTTTACTTAAACATAAAACTTTATTTTTAAAGTCACTTTTCTTAAAAAATAATGCATTTTATTTTATAATGTACCGTATTTATTTAAAAATAACACATTACATTTAGTATTTATATTTTGCTTAAATTTAGTAAAGTTACATTTTTATTTTAAAATTTATTTTTTAATGTCACCTCATATTTTAAATAATTCAAAATAACGCTTTTTATTTTATCGTGTCACCGTTATTATTTAAACATGTTTTTAAAAAAAACTTGTTTAAAAATGCCACTTCTCTTTTTAAAATAGTGGCATTTATTTAATATGTCACCGTTAAAAAAATAAATAAATACAACTCTTTAAAAAAAAAAAGCCTCTTTTTTCTATTTTAAAAATATATTTTTTTTAAAGTCCCTTTTAAATATATTTTTAAACATAAATAGCACTTTTTAATTATTTTTTAAACATAAATCTCACTTTTTATTTAAAAATAACTTGATTTTAAAAATTTAAAATTAAAAAATATGTATTTTTATTGTTATTATTTATGTATTTATTTATGTCACGTTTTTATGCCTCCCTGCTGCTGACAGATGTGACCGCAGGCTTCATGTTTTAACTTTTAATGTTGTCTTTTTCGATGACTTTACGTCATTTACATCATTTTACTTGTTATTTATTGAATGTAATTTTATTTAATATCGAGCACGTTGAGCCTTTAAACTGTCTTTTAGGCAAAGTCGAGTCCAGATTCAGCACAAAGTGAGTTTTTAGGATTAAACACGTTTTATTTATTAGAGGTGATGTTTTGTGTGACATTAAAGGCACATTTATTTATTTTATTTATTTATTTTTAAGTTTCATATTTAGGCTTTCAATCAGAGTCAGAGCAGTGACCACATACGTATATATACAATATACACCTGATGTGTGTCTTTTGTTTGTATTTGTGGTTCTTTTGTGCCTTTGGAGAGTCATTGTGTGTCTTTATTGACGTCTCGTGTCTCTTTGTGCTCGTCTTGTGTTTCGTTTTTCGTCTCTTTCTGGTTGTTTTTCTTTATCACGTCTCTGCTGTTATTTCTGACACTGGAAGTCGTCTGAATACGGTTTCTGTGGAAGATTGAATCTTCTCTGCAGCTTCACTTTGAATTTTTCTCCAATCTGTTGCTGTTAATTTAACAGAACCTTCCACTGTCCGGTTGTGCGTCTCATTATTTAGATGTCTTCATATTTTTGACTCTTGGGTGTCAGCTGACTCAGTTTTTCTCCTGAACTTTGACGAAACTTCAGCTTCACGCGTTAACAGCTGATTTATTTTCGTCTCTCAGACAACGAGTTTCCATCAGACACCTTCGGTCGCGCCTCGACCGACACCTCGAGGTTTCAACATCGCAAGTTCACGAGTTTCATCATCTGCTCGCCGCGGTTATTAATAAGTTCACGCGTGACTTTATTAACGAGGGACTCTTTCATGATGTTTGATTCAAACGCTGCAGGTTAAATCATTACGTGACTCTGAGCGGCTGTCAGGAAACTTGTTTTGAAACCTTCCACAAGCTTCTCACAACAGTCTGATGGGTTCTGGCCCATTCCTCCTGACAGAACTGGTGGAACTGAGTCAGGTTTGTTGCTCCACTGATGTTCTCCAGGATGGAGATCAGGGCTTTGTGATGGCCACTCCACAACACTGACTCTGTTGTCCTGAAGCCTCTCTGTAGCTAATCTGGCGCTATGCTGAGGGTCATTGTCCATCTGAAGACCCATTAGTGTCCAAGCTTTAACTTCCTGCTGATGTCTGGAGATGTTGCTTCAGTATCTCCACATCATGTTCTTTCCTCATGATGCCATCTATTGTGTGAAGGTCACCAGTCCCTCCACAGCATGATGCTGCCACCCCCGTGCTCCACAGCTGGGATGGTGTTCTCAGGCTGTTTCCTCAAGATGTACTGATGGTCATTAAGGCCAAACAGTTCAGGTTTAGTTCCATCAGACCACAGGTGTTTATTGTGTGTCTCTTTTTAAATGGCTTGTGACCAGTTTGCATTTTATTCTGCTCATTTTGTCTCGTTATAGACGTTTATTTTTCTCTGTTTGTCTTTGTTTTTGTCTCTTTGTGGTCGTTTTTTAGCCTGTTGTGCCTCTTTTTAAAAAAACTTTACATATTAATCAGTATCTCCTGAAAACATTTTGGATATTTTATTGCTTCGTGATGCCGTTAAATCCACTTAATATGTGATTAGCGCCGCAGTAAATAGTTTAATTACAGTCTAATTAATGTGATGGAGGCTGATGAAGGCAGCTGACGCGTTCACAGAACCAAAGCGAGACTTAAACGAGTCACAGCTGCTGCAGAAACACTTTGGATTTATTCACTGAGCATCGCAAATGTCTGAATAAAAATCATCAGCAGGGAAACAGAACGCAACAGTTTTCATCTGGTCTTCTGAGTGATGAAACTACGTTCAACCAACAAACGAGTTACAGGAATTAAAGGTGTTTTAATCATTTAACGGCAGCATAGACACACGTTTAGAAGTTGGTTATTGACAAAATTAATCTTCAAGCTGTTTGAAATCACTTTAATGTTCACAAAAAGTTTTTAAGTTGACAAACGGTTAAAAATTCAAGTCGCTCCAAATAAAGTTTCTTCAGTAGTTTTTAGCTTTTTGCCTGTTTTTGTTCATGTTGTAGTTTTTGGAGAAATTAATTAATTCATCAGCAAAATTATCCTGATCACCTGATTCCACCCACCTGTCCTGGTCATGTGACTCCACCCACCTGTCCTGGTCATGTGACTCCACCCACCTGTCCTGGTCATGTGACTCCACCCACATGTTCTGGTCATGTGACTCCACCCACCTGTTCTGGTTGTGTGACTCCACTCACCTGTTGTTGTATAGGTTGTGTTTTTGTGTAGGATGTGTTGCAGCAAACTGCTTTGTTGTGTTGTAGTGTAGGTTGTGTTGCAGTGAACAGTGTTGTTGTGTTGCAGTAAACGGTGTTACAGTGGAGGTCGTGTTGTGTTGTTGTGTCTTGTTGTAGCGTTGTGTTGGTTGTGTTGCAGCACACTGTGTTGTGTTGTAGTGTTGGTTGTGTTGCAGTAAGCAGTGTTACAGTGG